CCAACCACCTGAGCCACAGCGTCAGGGCTAGGCACCTGGCTTTTTTAAAAAGTCACTTTGGAGCAAAAGGATAGGTAATTACTACTACTATTACTATTATTTTGTCAATCAGTCAAAATTATACCTATTTTTTTGTCAGATTGGCAAAAAATACATTTTTGGGGTAGGCTGCAGAATTTTAGCAATTAGTTTATGTGTACCATAAGGTAAAAAGGGCTGAAAATCACCAGCTTAAGGGATAAAACCTCAGGTTCCTGAGCCAGAGTGTGGTTCAGACCCCTGACCTGGATGACTTTGCTCTGTGGTTGGCCGAGATTCTCCTCTGTAGAAGGCAGTGTGGTAGGGGTGGGAAAGAGACCAGGACTTAGGCCGGGCTCTAATGCTGGCAGGTCCTTCTCGGCATCAAGAAGGGTTCAGGAATCTGGAGAAGGCGCTGCAGCGTAAATTAATAAAGAGACTAGAAATATAATATAAATTTGTAATCCATGGGGGAGCCAGAGGAGACCTAGCTTCAGTAACCAAGTTCTCTGAAAGATTAAAATGCCCTCAGCTGTCTTCCAACAGGCAATAATGTATGCAAATCTTTAGGTGTGGGGAAATGCATTTAGCAGCTAAGTCTTAGCTATTCCAGCAGCAGGTAATATGTATTCAGCCCTGCTGAATCCCCAAGTTCCATCAACCTTTTGATGAAACTTCTTGCATTTATGACATGCTGGAATTAGCTTCTGGCAGGGCTCACCTGATTATGAGCCATGGCTCAACCCTGGACCAGCCACTTTCCCTTGCCAAAGCCTAGTTTTCCTACCTGTAAAATGGGAATAATAGTGTCTCCCTTGCAGGGCTGTCATGAAGATCCAGTGAGATAATAAATGCATCTGGCACACATACCACACATCACATACATGGTGGTTCCCTTCCTTCTCCTGTGGCTGAAGCAAGGAGCAAAAAGCCTGTTCTCTTTCTCTTCCAGTAAGAGTGGAAACCGATGGAGAATCGAGCTCTGGACCCAGGGACTCGGGACTCCTATGGTGCCACCAGTCACCTCCCCAACAAGGGGACCCTGGCAAAAGCCAAGAACAACTTCAAAGACCTGATGTCCAAGCTGACGGAGGGGCAGTATGTGCTGTGCCGGTGGACAGATGGACTGTATTACCTTGGGAAGATCAAGAGGGTAAACCTTTTCGCCCCGGCCCCTGTTCCCAGGCTCTGCATCTCTCTGCTTATCCTATGGCCTAGGCTGGTGATGGATGGAGGATTGCTGGGAAATTCCCTTCTTGTCCCTCATGCTCAAAAGCTGAATATGGAAGGAGCTTTTGCAGGTGCCATTCTTAGAGCTAATATCACCCAACCAGTTCTTTAAAAAAGCGCCTTTCGAGCCTACAAAGCAAAATGGGGTCAGGTTGGAGAGGATCACAGATGACCATCTGGCTTGTTCTGTTCTCAGCATTCCCACCAAGTTGTCCCTCGGTCCCTGACTGTACAAGTCCAGTGGCTGGGCATGTACTACCTCCAGGAGCTGCCATCTACCTTCCCTCTGGCCCACCTCTACTTTCTGGAGCACAAGGAGGGGGTGGGGGTCACCTTAACCTCTGTGTCCTGTGGGGACAAAAATGGGAGAGGAAGACCAGGTTCCATGGCTTCTCCCCAGCTACTTGCTCACATTGCTCCTTCCTCTCTGTGCCCCAGGTCAGCAGTTCAAAGCAGAGCTGCCTTGTGACTTTTGAAGATAATTCCAAATACTGGGTCCTGTGGAAGGACATACAGCATGGTGAGTATTCCTAAGGTTTCAGACACCCCTGCCCCACCCACCCTCTGCCCTCTCTCCTCCCCCACCTCTATGTTTTTCCTTCTCTTCTTCTGTCTCTTATTCCCAGTATCTGACCTTGCCCATGAACCCCCAAGCGCCCCTGAGATGCCAATCAGATGATCGGTTGTACATTTTCAAGGCCTTTGATGACATTTGTCATCCCCTTGAGTGCCCATGCCTTATGAAGGAGGCAGCAGCTGGAGAAAGTGGCTCGGGAGGTGCTGGGAGCTGCATGGGTCCCAGGCCTGCATCTGCCTCCTCACTGCCCTCCATCTCCTGCTGCACAAAGCTTGGAGTCCCTCTGGGCTAGGAACAGGGAGGGGCCCAGGCAATCAGAATTGTCATCTCTAGATGAGCACAGTGTCCCCTACAGGCATGTGAAGAAAACTAGTGGAGGCAGCTCTATCCATGGGGGACAGCAGGAAAGGAGAGATGGGCCAGGCAGGTGAAGATGGGCATGCCAGTGGAGCAGGGCCAACTTGCACGGTTGGAAGGGAGCTGGGTTGGGTATCATCCCTGCCCTCAGAGAGTTGACTGTCTTAAGTCGATGGCATTCTTGCCACCATTCTCCCTTCCCGTGTACATGACAGACATCACTAATGAGTCACAACACTCATATATTTTCAACATGGAGCTCCCAGCAGCCTGTCTGCCATTCATGCTCAAACAGGAGAATAGATGTGATGGTGGTGGGGTAGGGAGGCAGGCTTTAGGGTCAGATACTCCTTGACAGAGGACTGGCTCTGCCATTTAATAGCTGCATATCCTTGGGCATGGGATATAATCTCTCTGACCCTCAGTCTCTTCATAAAGAAAAGGAGATGATGAAAGCACTGACCTCACAGAGTGGTTAAATGAGATAATCCACATGAAATGCTTATCCCAGAGTTATAGGGAGGCAGTTTCTAAAGAATTTGTTACCATAAGAGATGATTTCAAGGAGCCTGCCAAGTAGGGGCCACAGAACCCAGGCAGTCAGCAGAGTTTCTAAATGATCTTTATCTCCAAGAAGGTGTGGCTAAGGCAGACTGATTCTTCTCCAAGCCCCTCTCGCCTCAGTTTATTATATAAAGATCCAAAGCAATAGGACCTCCTCTCCTTGTCACCCTCTTACTGAAAGCGCAGGGAGCCAGCTGCTAAGGAAAGACAGTTCACTCTAGCAGACCATGAGTAGGAGGCTCACCTGGGGAATCACTTGGCTCCCACCAGATACCTGCTCTGGGCGGGCAGGGCAGGACGGCAGCCCCTGGGGCTTCTCCCACGGTGAGAGCACAGACTGAGCACATCACAGGTATTGATCCATCGCTTCATGAAGCCCAAGACTCACTGAGACCCACAAAGTGTGCAGATACTGAGGAATAAGGGACGAGAGCATTTTTTGAACTCAACAAACAGGTATTGAACATGTGTCATACACCACACAGTGTATGAGGTCCTGGGGAACACCTTGATGAATAGATACCATTTCAGTCTGCTAGTGGAAATAAGACAGAAACACATCAACATGTACTTAATGTATTCACTCAAACCGTTCACACATAAACACATGTTTCTTCTTCAATAGAAACAAAAAAAAAAATGCCAAGGGAAAAAAGAGATGGAGAGGGAACCTATAGTTTAAAAGCAATCAAACAAACTTAAAATTGCTATGACACTTATTTGAGACCATTGGAAATGTGAATACTAACGGAAGGTATTGATATAAAGAACTTATTTTTAATTTTTAGGTGCAATAAAGATTCTGTCCTGGATTTTTTTTAAAAGAGAGTTTTAGTCTTTCAGAGATACATACTGAAATATTTATGGAAATAATTGGGTATCTGGGACTTGATGTAAAATAATAGCAGGAAGTGAGTGGGAATATTATCAAAACAAGATTGCCCATGAGTTCATAATTGTTAGTGAGAACACAGAGTTAAATTATAACATTTATAACAATTTTTAAAATTATTTAACATAAAAATACTGCTTAACAAATCAAGTTAAATCAGGCAGGAGCGGCTGCATGATATGGTCAAAAGGACAAAGGTTTTGATGTCAAACAGATATGGGTTTGAATCCCACCTCCCTGCTTACTAGCAGATCAAGGGACTTAACATCTCTGAGCCCCCATTTCCCCGTTTTTAGGATGGAGTGATGACAACAGGCCCCTCAGAGTGGTTGGGGAGAATCCGTGAGTTGGCGTGTGGGTCCTGGGGCAAGGCCCAGCCACAGACGCTCAGCACCTGGAATGCGATTTTTATTAAACTCCCAGTTTCCGCCAGCCAGACCCAGAGGGCTTCTCTTTTTCAGCTGGTGTTCCGGGGGAGGAGCCCAAGTGTAACATCTGCCTGGGGAAGACATCAGGGCCACTGAATGAGATCCTCATCTGTGGCAAGTGTGGCCTGGGTGAGTGTGATGAGCAGACGCTCAGAAGGCCTCCCCCCTCTCACCCCCCACCCCCCCACACACACATGCACTGGTCCCTGACAGGCAGTGCCTCAGACTGCTGGGTCTTCAGCTGGCTTCCTGCTTCTCTTGGAGCTCCAGAGTGACAGGGGCCAGTCTCTGGGAGTGAGGTCCCAGGGCGGTGACCCTTGGAGAGAGCTGGGCCTTTGGAAAGTGAGATGAGTTATGAAATCTGGAGCCCCCAGGGTGGAGAGCACAGGTGGGAGAGATGGGGCACAGAGGCTGAAGTCAAGACTTTGGTGCCGCCCCCACTGGGGCCCAGGCAGTCTCTTAGTCGCCTGCTTGGACACCAACTTGGCTGGCCTTGGTGAGAGCATGACCAGCCAGTCCCCTGGCAGCTGGCAGGCACCCAGGTCTTGCTGCAGCCCTCCCCTGCCCTGCCGCCTTTGGGCTGACGGCCTGGGGCCGCGGCTGCGTCCTTGGGGCACCCACCACACTCCTCTGTCTAGGTTACCACCAGCAGTGCCACATCCCCGTAGCAGGCAGCGCCGACCGGTCCCTGCTCACACCTTGGTTCTGCCGACGCTGTATCTTCGCGCTGGCTGTGCGGGTGAGCCCCTCATCCTTCAGTCCCTGCCTCTCCCCTCTCTAATCACACCTCCAGCGACTTTCTGAGCTCCGGCCTGACTCGGGGTCACAGAGCCAACGTTTTGGAGGCAGACAGCGCCTCTGCCACTCACTTGGCCAGGCTCCTTAGCTTTTCAGAGCCTCGGTTTCCTCAACTGTGAAATGGATGCGGTTTTGGTGTCAGGAGTAGGAGGCCCCCAGTAAATGGAGCCTTACTATTAAAAGAGAAAACCATGTATGTGCCCACACTTACTAGTTATTATTGTTACTTTCATTGTGCTTATTACTATTAATGGCGATCTCCTGGGAAAGAGAGAGGATGGATTTCGGATTCTGGGGGAAAGCTCCTTGCGTCTGACTATGTTGGTGGATCTGCGGGTCCCCCTAGTGGGCATTTCCCTTGTGGCCCAACCGGCACCCTCATCTCCCGCAGAAAGGCGGCGCCGTGAAGAAGGGCGCCATCGCCAGGACGCTGCAGGCGGTGAAGATGGTGCTCTCCTACCAGCCCGAGGAACTCGAGTGGGACTCGCCCCACCGCACCAACCAGCAGCAATGCTACTGCTACTGCGGCGGGCCCGGAGAGTAAGGCCACCGGGCGTCCCCCTCCCTGCTCTGGCGGTGGCGGGCCATCTGTGGGCGGACCAAGAGTGGGAGGTTGAGTATCTCTTCAGTGGGCTAAGCAATCTGCGGTGTAACCTAGACCCCAGGTGATTCTGATGATAGTGGTCCATGGACGACACCTGGCAAGGTGTGAACAAAGCTCTGACTGTCATTAAGGGAATACCCTTCTGCTGTCAGCTTATATTCAGTGAGTAGTTGCTAAATGGCCATGGTAGGGCAGATCCAGTACCAGGCGAGAAACACCAGGCATAGTGCTGCCCTGTTGGTTACAGGAGCCATTATTCTCCCATGAAGTCCCCAGAGCAAACTTGACCCTGTTGGTGGTATTTGGGAAGAAGTGTGTGGGGCGCAGTCCAGAGCGGGGGACTCCGGTGTGGCATGGTGGAAGGGTGCTTTGAAGTCAGGCAGGCCCGGATTTGAGTCACCACCCACCACTTGCTTTCTGAGTGACCCTGAGCAAGCCATTCATTCTCTGACTCATCTATAAAACGGGGATAGTGGCCCATCCTGAGCCCAAATGAAAGCATATGCCCTGCTTACAGGACCTCCCCTGGCACAGCCTAATGTTCGGTCACTGAGTTCCTTCCCTTACCCCAGTGGAGGGCAGGTTTCTGTTGGGAAAGGTTGCTGAGACTCCTGTCTGGCTGGGGGTGCGGGCCCAGGTGACCCTGGCTCCTCTTGCTCTCCAGGTGGTACTTGCGGATGCTGCAGTGTTACCGGTGCCGGCAGTGGTTCCACGAGGCTTGCACCCAGTGCCTCAATGAGCCCATGATGTTTGGAGACCGGTAGGTGCCAATCTGATCTGGCTCAGCCTTGAGTGTGAGGTGGGGGGACGGGGAGAGCAGTAGCAACTCCTTCAGTCTGCCTGCCAGGCTCTAGTTAAGTGAGGGGGGGCGTCTACAGGGGAAATCCTCAGTAGAGGAATATTCTGGACCACATCCTAGTTGCCATTGATTTGTGGGGGCTCTTAGACAAAGCCCTACCTTCTCTAAGCCCCGGTCTCTTTAAGTGTCTGGGGAGGGGGAGTGACACAAGCTCTGCCCCATCCTGCCCAGGGGTTTGTAGGAACCACTGGGTGAATGGATGACTTGATCCAGCTTCTAACCCAGGGGTGGGCAAACTTTTTGACTCGAGGGCCACAATGGGTTCTTAAACTGGACCGGAGGGCCGGAACAAAAGCATGGGGGGAGTGTTTGTGTGAACTAATATAAATTCAAAGTAAACATCATTACATAAAAGGGTACGGTCTTTTTTTTTTTTAGTTTTATTCATTTCAAATGGGCCGGATCCGGCCGCCGGCCGTAGTTTGCCCACAGCTGCTCTAACCAGTGGGGCTAAGCTCATGGGAGGCTTATGTGCATCAAACCAGATATGTGTGCCGGGGTGATTGTGTGTGTGTGTGTGTGTGTGTCTGTGTCTGTGTCTGTGTCTGTCTCAGAGGGGAAAGAGCGTGACCACTGCAGCCCAGCCTAGCTCGACCCCTTCTCTTTGAACTCAGCCACACTCCAGGGCAGTGACACTGGGGAAAAGGGTTGCGGTAGGGGTTAGAGGCGGGTAGGGGAGTATTTTTTTGGGTCTCTGTCCTGCCCTGTTCATACTCCTGCCCCCTGGGCCTCCAGCCCTAGGAATGAGAACAAGCTGACTATGCGAAGGCAATGGGAGGTGAGGGGGTGAGGGCGCTAGATTAGGGTGGGGTGTCAGAGCCCTCGCCCACCACAGGCCTCCTCTCCACCTGCCCACAGGTTCTACCTGTTCTTCTGCTCCGTGTGTAACCAGGGCCCAGAATACATTGAGAGGCTACCCCTGCGATGGTGAGAAGATGGGGCTTGGCCCAGGCACCCTCTGTCCCTCCCAGCTCCTCCCCTCCCCACTTTTTCCAGGAACAATTCCATTTCCAACCACCAGGCCCCAGCTTTGCCCCTGTCCTTGAGCCCTGACCTTGGCCTGCTGCCTCACCCCAGCCCCATCTCCTTGCCCCTTGCCCAGGGTGGATGTAGTTCACCTGGCCCTCTACAACCTGGGGGTGCAGAGCAAGAAGAAGTACTTTGACTTTGAGGAGATTCTGGCCTTCGTCAACCACCACTGGGAGCTCCTGCAGCTTGGCAAGGTAGGCAGGACGGGGGACAGGCCCATTCCACAGTGGGGTTACACGGTTCCGAGAGGTTTCCCAGGGTCACACAGTGCAGGCTGGGATCCAGGTCTCAGCGCTCGCTCCTAAACTGCTGGCTGGGATTAAGACCCAGAGCCTTTGTGCTGCTGTATGTATCCCTGAGTCCACACCTCTGAGCATGTGCCTTGCAAGGGGCTTCCTGACCGAGATTTTGACAGTGGGCAGGTTAGGACCTCACAGACTTAGCTGCTGGGAACAAGGGATCAAGACTGGCTGAAGCAGGACAGAGCTGTTTGTCCCACTCCAGATTACCTGGCTGGGATGGAAAGTGAAGTGGGCCTGCCCCCTGCTGGTCCTACTGTGAATAGCAGAAGTGGGCATCACAGGAGTTTCTGGATGTCAGAGGTGGAGAGTGACTTGTCTAGACCCGTGGTCGCCAAACTGCGGCTTTGGCCCCTTGAGTGTGGCTCTTCCTAAGCCTTGGGAGTACCCTAATTAAGTTAATAACAATGTACCTACCTATATAGTTTAAGTTTTAAAAAGTTGGCTCTCAAAAGAAATTTCAATCGTTGTACTGTTGATATTTGGCTCTGTTGACTAATGAGTTTGCCGACCACTGGCAGGGCATTTGGAGCTGAGCCAAACTGCAGCCAGGGCCTCCCCAGCCACTTCCACTTTCACCCTTAGAATCCTCTCCACCGCATGCAGAGTGAGGCATCTTCTCTCCTGACTGCCCCAAATCTTTCTTTGATGAGACAAGGATTTTTTTAAAAACTTAAAAAAAGATTTTCATATAATATCTTCATTTACAGTGTTTGATAATTTATAAAAGACATAAATATTAAAAGCCCTAAAATATAGGTAGAACTGGTATATTTTTAAAACAACATTTTTTGCTGATTCACAAAAAAAAATCATACATGCTTCTAGTAAAACAATTTTAAAGTATCAAAAAGCATAAGGAAGACACAGCGGACTCTCATAGCCAGTTAGCCTGGAGGTCAAATCACCCTAGGTATTCCCAACATCAATCAAGGCTTAACTACAACAAGACTTCGAACAAATACCACTAGGGGGTGCACCAAGAAAAGATAAAAAAATGCGGAGACAAAGAAACAGGACGGAAATGTCAGAAATGGAAGATATAGAGCTCAAAACCACACTTTTAAGGTCTCTCAAGAACTGTCTAGAAGCTGCCGATAAACTTAGTAAGGCCTTCGAAAAGACTGGTGAGACC